CCCCAAGAGTCCCAGATTCCATTTCGTCCCTTCCAAACCACCAGCTGCCCCGTTCCTCCCTCCTGGCTAGTCCTGTGTGTGGAGTGCCTTGCATCTGTAAGTAGCTGGGATTCATGGAGTGCACCAAGCGTTTGCCTCCGAATGTCACAGGCTTGCCACTGATTTTAGGAACAAACGTGTGGGGTTTTGATGTAATTTCTTCCTTGCTCATTGGGATATTGAAATCATTGTGGAAAGATGCAAAGTGTTTTTCTCCAACATTGTCAAAGGATTATCCGTGGCGGTTGTGTGGGCATTTTCTCCCGTTTGGTAATTTGGTGTTCCTTCATGCTTTGTATCCATTCATGAGGGCAGGGCTTTCATTTGAAATGCTGCAGTCACCAGGGAGAAGGTTTTGTGCTCTTCCCTGATAGGCTGCCTTCCCCTCTGCCTCCTGTTGCTATGGTGCCTGGCAGAGTAACTTCCTTGCCCAGCACACGCAGGAGGTTTGGTCTCCATGGATACCCCACTTAGAGCCTACTCCACCGGTGATGATCAGCGCACACACGGCTTCTGCAAAGGTGCTACCCCAGCCTTAGACGGGAGGCTGCTGGCAGGGGCAGTGTTTGCCATGAAAGTCTACGGAGCTTACCTGCTAAGTAAGTAGTATTAGTCACAGTGAGTACACAATTCCATTGGCTCACAGAGGATACGTGCTCTTGGTGTGTGTGCAAAGTGAGCTGTGGGAGGATCAAAGTTTGAGGTGGTAGGATAAAAACGGACCTCCAGCAAGTTTTCGACTCCACCTTTCACACATGCTGGATGTGGAGCGGGGGTCCTCAAACGTTTTAAACAGGGGGCTAGTTCACTGTCCCTCAGACCCGTTGGAGGGCCGGACTATAGTTTTAAAAAACAACTATGAACAAATTCCTGGGCACACTGCACATATCTTATTTTGAAGTAAAAAAACAAATGGGGCAAAAACACCCGGCAGGCGGGATAAATCTCGGCGGGCCGCATGTGGCCTGCGGGCCATTGTTTGAGGACGCTTGATATAGAATCTAGAGTAAGCCTTTAAAAAGCACGCACATCCAGTCATCTTATCATCTTTCTAACTGAAATAGAGAGTCAGCAAAACAGAGTAGAAGACGTTTGATGAAATGGATTGGCATAGTGCCTGCAACAACGGCCTCAAACATAAGATAATTTCGAGGATGGTTCAGACCTGGGCAGTATTTCATTCAGTTATATGTATGTCCACTAGGAGTCAAAGCCACCTCTACAGCACCTGGTGACAACTCTCCATCATCAGTCCCTCCATCCATCCATTTATCTGTCACCTATCTAGGTTTTAAATACCCCTGGTCATTTATGAGTCTGTCTATACAGTCTGAAGCCCAAACAAAAAGGATTGGGTATGGGTGCTGACATCTTCGAATGCTCATTGAGGTCTAAGGTTTTCGTGGTGCATTTCTCATGCACAGCCTGGCCTTCCCCAGGGTTGTGCTGTAGACAGAGATGAGTGCAGCCGCAATTAATGCTAATTGGCACCGCACCTAGTTTGCAGTGGGCCTCTGTGTAGGCTGAGACATTACATATTTATTATCAAGAGAGAGCCCGGGCTGCTCATGTGATTAGGGAAGGGACGAGTCTTGTCTGCCAGTTCACCATGAAAATTATTCAGAGCACATCTCTCTGGCCAGTTTTAATTTATTTCTATCACATGGCATCTAGTAGACATTCTGGAGCTCTTCATGTCCATGAAATTGGCAGGAGGAAGATTTGTGTTTTATTATCTCATTTGATCTAATATTTCCGCTTCACGGTACATTCCAAGATCCAATGGGGTTTCCAGCATTGTAGAACACATGAGTCTTTGTACGGTGTTTTTCATCTACTGGGCAAAGGATTAACATTCATTTAATAGAAACAACAAC